CGAGTAATAGAACAGTGATATAATCTTTATGTAAGTATTTATTCTTATTTTTATTTCTTGATTTTTTTCATCTTCAAACGAGCATTTTTAGCATTATATGAGAACAAGTATACTAATATATTTCAAACAAAACAAAAGAGAAAACAATACATACGGATATGGTAACTTTTAGTAAACTATCGGAGAATTCCGTAGTTAAATTGAGATTTTATTTAGTTTGAAATATCTGCATATATTTGTTTTTGTATAAGAGTGAAAAATTTCTACGAAATAAAAATAAGAATAAATACTTACATAAAGATTATATCACTGTTCTATTACTCGAAAAATCTTCTAACATTCATTTAGCTTAATTCATTTGTGAAAATATGAGTTTTTTCTTATTTTTCTCTTGTACTAAAAAAACTGATTTTCAAAAATGCTCATTAGAAACTTCGAACAGAGAGGAGAATCAAATTGGCAAGAGTCTATGGTTATTATCGTTTGTTTCCATGCCTTCAAACTGCGACTATTGAACTTACCGGCGATAGTCGAAACTTTATTGCTCAATAAACTACACTCCGACAAAAGAAAAATTTCATTCATACCTGACTTTAAAGATTAGGCTAACAAAATGATCCGACGAACCATATGCGCCTAAGATGATAACATGAGTGGTTTATCTCATCGTGAAGATGTTTGAAAAATGATCAGAATTGACCATCTCTATAACTTCTTCTTGTTCTAACCAGTAATTAAAAGAAATATCGATTGATTCGCCACTGTCGAAAACTATTGTGTACAAATTAAAATTAACAAAAACTCGAGCAAACACTATTAGTATTTGGCGTCTGATCTTTGAGCGCATCAAAATAAAAATTTTGGACCTTTATAGATTTATAGAGTTTCATTTGATAGTTCTAGTACATTTATTCCATCTTCATAATAGAGCAATAGCTTGCTCTTTGAAAAGAACCATGAATCACTACGAGTAAATGTAATGAAACTCGGCAGTTTTATATGAATAGATTTGCTGTATATGCATTTTTTCAACGGTAAAAATTACAGCTTTTTTTTAATCTTTTCTCTATTCGAGAGTCAGAGGACTACACGGCTTACAATGATTGTGATCACATAAGAAATGTGGTTCAAACAAAAAAGGAAAAGACTATGAAAAAAAAGAAGAATTCAGATCAGTGAACGTAATAATGTATGATTTCAATCGAAAAAAATCCATATTCAAAATAAATTCATTTTTTGATCTCTTTAGAATAGAAAAAAAATGAGGATGTAAGTGTAAGAGTATAGAAAAGACTTCTGTGTCCACAACAACACTCTATAAATAGTAGGATTTTGTTTGAATGTTCTTGAGATGATGATACTGATTTCAAGTTGGATGCTAAGTATTCATTAGTTTTGTTTTAGCATAACTCAGGAGTAGTTTTAAGTCGTTCTCCTCATACAAATAGTTCATAATGATGTTTTGAATGAACATTCTTGATTTTATTTCTTCACAGAAGAAAAAAGTTAGAGCAAACTACGTGGCAATATAATGTGAAATTACTCAACTAACATGATCAATTTTGCTCTTTCTGTCGACTTATTATTTACCGTAATTTCTTTTTAAATTAAACCAACGCAAAGCAAATATTTTGTTTACGCTTATATATTACAAAGAAAGACAAACCGCATGAAGTAATTTCAAGTGATTGTGTCATTCTCAGTATCGACAATACGCCTTCTATATTCTCCTTCCTTGAAACCTTAAAAAGAGTTCTTGCATCAGACTGCATACTTTTTTTTCATTTCTTGTTACCGGTTACTATGTGTCCTTATTTAGTTTTCTCGATGTTTATTTGCATACGATCGAGTATAAAAAAAGAGTTTCTGCCTTTCATTTTATGTTTATACATCGTGCATGAAATGGCAGAGAAATTCATTCAACAACTACCACATAATAATGAAACATTCGAACAACAATGGTGTTCAATAGTCGAACGTCTAGAAAATCTTTTCAACGAATGCAATCAGAAAAAGAATGATATTCAAGGTCACAAAGTAAAAGCACTGGATGCTCTTGCTGATTATGTTCTTAGTGATTCACCATCACTGAAACCTTTTAACATGAAATTCCTTTTTATTGAACGGGTTGCAATGCTATGTGCTACTGAACCACAACCGGTACTTGCTGATCTCGTACTCATCTTACGACGTATTCTTGATCAGCCAAATATTTTTAATGAATGGCATTTTTCTTTTATCGAAGAGATTTATAAAAAATTCGAAATTGGTACGAGATTATCAGAAAAGCCATCGAAGGATTTAATTGAATCGATTCTTAAAAGTCTACAAAAACAATCATTTTTAATAGAAAGCTCATATACAGAATGCGAAGATAGATGGATAGATTTTTTTACATATTTCATGTTTTCATCAGGCTCGTATGCAAATAATCAACTGGCTACTGAAGCAACAATGCTTGCAGTACGTCCTGCTTTTCAACAATTTTTCGGGTAAGGAAATTGTTCGTAATATAATACAATAAAAACTATATGAGTTCTTTTCTTTGAACAGATATGCTGTCCAAATGTCTTCTAAATCGAATGTTTGGTCCAAAGTAGCGTACTTATTGCAAAACGCATTACCAAATCTTTTCGATAGTTCTGCTAACCCAGCCGATGCATTAGCAATCATTGAGGATAGTGACTCATCTGTATCGCGTGAATTTCTACGATCAGTTGCCAAATCATACAAGGATAATGTGAATCAATTCAAAGCAAATTTTTCTCATGTTTTAACAATCATTGAACCACTTGTCTTAGCCAATCGTGTTTATGATGCCAGAGATTTTATGGAGGAAACGATTGATATACATTTTAAGACTGCAGTTGATATTGGTATTCTAGTTGAAATGTTTATTCGTGTATGTGAAAAAGTGAATGTTACTACTCGAGGTGAACTATGTGAACAAATTATTTTTTCTCTTTCAAGAACTTTGGAAAATACAAAATGTAATAAAACATTGGCACCACTTTTGTTCGATTTTGCTATTGTTATACTTGATTTAAAAGTATTTGAAGCACCACAATGTACAAAACACATTCTCGAAAAAAAAAGAATTTTTTCCATGGAAAGATTTGGCACCACGTTTTAGTCATGTTGTTCGATCATGTGCTGCTTATGATATCATTGATGATGAAGATCATTTTAGTCATCTTCATCATCTTGAAGGAGTTCTCGAATTGACTTTTGAACGATCTAAAGTTTGTCAAAATATTGTTCAAGCTACACATAATGAAGCATTACAAGCTATTCTACGTTGGTTAGGGCCTGCCAAGCCTATCAAGAAGGTTCTATGGTGTTCACACGTGTACAGAATGGGACGAAATATGGTAGACTTGATTGATCAACGACAAGTTATCGCTGATGTATGTGGTCAACTAATTGAAGCATTGCATAAGAGAATAATAAAAAACAAAGAAGACGACGATGAAGACCAAACTGATGATACGCATGAAGATTTTTGTATTGTGAGTATATTTATCTATGTATCAACTTTTCTAAATTAGGATTCATTATATTTATTAGACATTGGCATCAAAATTGGCTGACTATATTGAAAAACTGAAATCACTTCCTCAAAAAGTTCATCGTCAAATTGCTTCGTTTATTTTAGCTGCTCTTGCTCTACCATTGAAATGTGAAAGTGGAGAAGAATCATGTGCACGGAAAATGGCTAAATTGATTTGGCTTGTAATTGGTCTGTGTATAAAAAATGAGAATGAAGCTCGTTTTTATGAACAATGTCTTAAACAAATACATTCACTTGCACATGAATATGATGAAGAGGATTTCTTCCAATGGTGGATGACCTTTTGGAGTGCTGTCGGTATCCAAACACCTTCTATAGCCGCCAATTACGTAGAAGATTTTCTAAGTGATCTACTCGATCGAAAACGTATTGATCTTTGTGCAATTCTTCCAGTGAGTAATGATGTCTGCTTCAATATTTTTGTTAAGTTCGACTGGTTCGTTTTCTTAGAAACTCTACCCGATACGACCAGAACCATTTCATTCTCGACTCAGTAATTTGGTTGATGGGATCTTTAGTAATGACCAAGCCTATTCAATATCTGTATCGTACCTTTTTTCGATTGTTGGTAAAGAGCATCCAGAATTATTTACATCAAAACATGTTGATCATGTATTTGCTTCAATGAAATCTTGCGCAACTAAATCTGATGGTCTTATCCCTATTCTTGAAGCACTAGGCTTTGTTGCCAATGCACAACCTCATCTTTTTCATAAACATCATGATCAACTCTTGCATCTTGTTTCTAAACAACAAAATGTATCAGCATTTCATTGTCTTCAACAATATTATGTTGCATCAACGATTGTTAATGAAGGAAAAACAGCCAATGAATATCTCACCATTCTAATCAATATCCTTAGACAAAATAGTAAAATGAAGAATGATATTCGAAAGCAAATCTTTCATGTTTGTGAATTAATTGGTGTCATAAATAAACAAGCACTCGAAGCTAAACGAAAGGATCTAGTCGCATTTCAAACGTATGCTGAATGTCGATTGTTGCTCGACTTTATTTATGGCAAAAAGCTAAGTGCCGAAAATCAAGAAGTACTCAATCAAACACGACAGGAAATCGGTCAAATGGAAAAGCTTGTCGTCAAAACAGGAAAATATGTACAAAATGTCACAACAGTTGTTAGACGACAAGAAATTAATGTAAGCTTTGCACTTAATCAAACGAAAAGTGGAATATTTTCATGTTGACTATTTATATGTTCATAGGTCACAAATCTCAATACACGAGTAAAAAAAGTTGATACGAAGTTGAATAATGTAAATGAACAATTACAAGTACACACAAATGAAATTGAACGTATCGATGCCAAAACATTGAGTCATATTCCTACGGAATGGGGTGATCAAGTGAGCAAATTACTTAATCATAGAGCAGATAATGATTGGCGACTACTCGGCAAACGTTTTGGTTATTCGACAAGTGAATTAAGACATTGGTCCATGCACGCTAATCCGTGCATGTCACTTCTTAATGAATGGTTTATGACATATAAAGCAGACGAAGCGACGTATGGACTTGTGAAAATGCTCGACGAGATCGGACGAAAAGATGCTTCAAAAATTATTCGACAAGCAGCTGCTACTGCTGGCGAACTTATTCCTGATGATATGCCATTCGAGATCAAACGTCTTCCACAAATCTTTCTCTCATATCAATGGGGCGCTCAAAAAGCCGTCAAAACACTTAAGCAAAATCTTGAAGAAGCTGGTTATGCTTGTTGGATGGACATTGGACAAATGGGGGGGTGGAGATAAATTGTTTACTAAGATTGATGTTGGCATTCGTGGAGCCAAAGTCATAGTATGCTGTATGAATTCAGCCTATGCTCAATCGGATAATTGTTCTCGTGAAGTTCATCTAGCTATAAGTACAGGCAAACCATTGATTCCTCTACAAATGGAAAAGCAAAAATGGCCACCAGAAGGTGCTCTTGGTCCAATTATGAGTGAATATTTGTATATACGGTTCTATGATCGTAAAACAAACGTTGACAATTATTGGCCTGCAGATAAATTCCCAGAGCTGCTTGGCCAGATTCGTTATCATGTAGCACCTAATCTTGATATAATTAGCTCACAGTATCAAAATTGGTTTCTACCACAAATTGATAATTTAATCTTTCTTCAACAAACAGCAATCGACGGAAACGATAAAAAAGTTGCTTTGAAAGACAATATTCCACTCGATGTTACTCATCCGCAGATCATGATATCGTATCAATGGGATCGTCAAACTGACATTATTGCTTTGTACAAACGACTTACACAATTGGGTTATCGTTGTTGGCTTGACATATTTCAGATGGGTGGTGGTGATTCATTATTCGAAAAGATTGATGCTGGAATTCGTAATGCTAAATGTATACTTGCTTGTGTGACGCCAAACTATACAAAATCAACTAATTGTCGACGAGAAATGTCCTTATCTGATGCACTTGGAAAGCCCATTGTGCCATTGTTACTCGAAGCAACAGATACATGGCCTCCGTCTGGTCCGATGGCACTTATTTTTACTGATAAACCGTACATCGATTTTTGTCCTTCGAATCCGAATTATCAGAAGAATGACATATGGTCATCGGTAGAATTCAACAAAGTGATTGATCGACTGAAAACAACTATAACTGGAGTTCAAACAAATCAATCTCAAAGTGTTGTTAATACCAAGCGATCAATATCTGCCGAAAGTACAAAAAATGTGGTGCCAAGTAAATTATGTTGCATCTTGTAAACTTTTTGTACTTTTTGCATCGAACAAAACGTAACTAATAAAGATTGTGAATGGATATGAACACTCTTTTATTCACTTATGATCAATAAACAAGAAACAAATAAAGAAAAGATGAAGACAGATTTAATCTCAATGTATCTTAAGGAGAGAAAAGGAGTCCCATCGAATTATAGAGTCAAAACGACTCTTGAGAGTGTCGATATACTTAAATACTATCATAAATAATGAATTGTCGAGACTCTCAACAAAGCGAACATCTAAGGATACCCCTCTAAAGCATGTATTGAAAATCTAAGAATACCAGTTATTTGAAAAGATCTCCCTTGAGAATATAGTATCAAGTTATTTATACTGCTCCTACTTAATACAATTTATTTTATTCAGCATGCGAATATCTGTAAAATACACGAATGCCGGGAAAGAAAAAATAGCTTAAATATATGTTTAACGGTAGATAGAACTCGCTGGATTGTGCTTGCAAACATAGAATACATCAGACATACAAAAATAAGCATTCATTTCAATTAATCTTGACGTAAAGCTTCTACTATCTTATCGAAATTATTTCTATAAATACCAGCCATCATTTTTTCTATCGCACTTTGCTATTCATAATCGTCTATATATACGACAAGGGTGTTGTTATTTTTATTGTCTCATAGCCATACCCCCACACCCTATGATACCTGTTCGAAAAAATAATGATCAATCAAACAATAAGGAAAATATACGAATTGTAATGTTTAGTTTTCTTTTCGAAACGCAGCGTTGATGAATGCTGTAAATTAATGCAATAGTTGTATATGTTCATTTTGACTTTAGCTGTATCACACATTCATCGATAAAAACTAAGATTTTCATTGATTTTCCATGTACGAATAAGTATTTAAAGAAGAAAACAGATATATTCATGATAATAAAAAGCTGATCGACGAATTATATCAAAATGATGTAGTAGTTCTATTATAACAGTCAAATTTTTGGTATCGAACGAATATCAAACTTCATTTTTTATTATGCTACTGACAGAAAGCTCGTACGAATAGATTTTTCTCGTAACTATTGCATATCCTTTAATTAAATAATAATTGGTTATATAATACTTTTTTGAAGAATACGGAGGTGTCTTCGGCATACATATTCATCCACTATGGGTGTGGGTGTGGTTGTGTATGACTAAAGACAGCAACGACACCCAGCCTTTCACCCCCCCCCCCCCCCCCCCCCCCCCCCCCCCCCCCCCCCCCCCAGTATATAAAAACATATCGGACCTGTCACGAAACGTCCGGTGTGTGAGA